ATAGGTAATAGTTTCTTAAGCGCTTATTATTATTATTATAGAAACCTTATAGAGTAGTATCCTCCTTCTCTATATTAGAAGGGTTAGAGAGTTTAAAAAAAATACAAAATATAATATAATACAAAAATATAATATAAATATAATATAATATAATATAAATATAATACATGTATTTATATTATATTATATAGGAAAGATAATACATATATTTGTATTTGTATTATATTATATCTGTATTATATTTTGTATAATATACAACTATATAATATAAAAAATAAAAATAATTCAAAATTAGTAAATTAATTATATATAGTACTATTAACCTTCTTTTATAGTATAGTATTATTTATATATTTTATTTAAAATATAGTATACTTAAAAACTAAGATATAGTAAAGTTTATTAAGTATTATTTATAAGTATTTACTACTAGTACTATATAAGTAATATAGATAAAAGAACTATATATTACTTAAAGTATAATATATTAATATACTATAACTATACTAAAGTTACTATTAATAACTAACTATATAATAACTAACTATATAATAACTAACTATATTATAACTAACTATATAATAACTAACTATATAATAAATAGCTTTTAATACCTAACTATATAATAAATAGCTTTTAATACGTAGCTATGTAATAACTAACTATATAATAAATAGCTTTTAATACCTAACTATATAATAACTAACTATATAATAACTAACTATATAATAACTAACTATATAATAACTAACTATATAATAACTAACTATATAATAACTAATTATATAAAAATTAATAAATAGCTTTTAATACCTAGCTATATAATAACTAACTATATAATAACTAACTATATAATAACTAACTATATAATAACTAACTATATAATAACTAACTATATAATAAATAGCTTTTAATACCTAACTATATAATAAGTTAATAACTAACTATATAATAAATAGCTTTTAATACCTAACTATATAATAACTAACTATATAATAAATAGCTTTTAATACTTAACTATATAATAACTAACTATATAATAAATAGCTTTTAATAGCTAACTATATAATAAGTTAATAACTAACTATATAATAAATAGCTTTTAATACCTAACTATATAATAACTAACTATATAATAAATAGCTTTTAATACTTAACTATATAATAACTAACTTTATAATAAATAGCTTTTAATAGCTAACTATATAATAACTAACTATATAATAACTAACTATATTATAACTATCTATATAATAACTAACTATATAATAACTAACTATATAATAACTAACTATATAATAAATAGCTCTTAGTAACTAGAATCCTCTTCTATCTCTCCTACTTCTTTAAAATCTTCTATTTCTTTATCTTTTACTTCTTCTTCTATAATACTCCCTTCTTCTTTAGATAAGTATTTAAAGCCTATATTAAATAAACTACTATATATCTTAGGTATATAAAAAGAGCTATCTAAGCCCTCTAAATTACTAGATTATTGCTAGCCTTTTAAAAGCATTAATTTTTTTCTAGTATTATTTGTTAAATTAGTTCTTCTTTTAGTAATAATATTACTAGACTAGTTAAAACTACTTTCTACTGCAGCAGAAGTAGGAGGTATAGCTAAGTATTTTCTTGCTAATATAGATAAAATAGGAAATTTCTCTATATTATTCTTCTACCACTCTAAAGAATTTGCCTAAATAATAGTTAGTATATACTATATAATATTATATTAAATTATTTTAAAAATATTATAGTTATAGTCTATAAATAAATCTTTTATAGTTTTTAAAACTAGTTAAATATATTAAAAGTCTTACTTACTTTGTTTCCTATAGGGGATAAAGAATAATAATTTTCTAATTCATTTTCTCTTATTTTAGCTGCTTGTTGTTTACTTTATATAGGGTAAAAATCCTTAAATTCCTTAGGCTTAGGCTTAGGAATAGGTATTTTTAATTTATTTTTACCTATAGGCCTTTCTCTAGGCTTAGATAAATCTATAGTAAATCTATTTGCTTTTTTACTAGTACTACTAGTAGGAAGATCAGAAGAAGAATTAGAGTTATAGTTATTATCCTTAATTTTAATAGTTTTATTTAAACTAGGAATATATAACTCTTCTTTATTATTTTTTCCTAGATCTTTAATAATCTTTTGTTTTAGCCTAAAATATAGAAATAATAAATTAGTATATTATAACTATAAGTATATTAAAGGTAAATATAATAACTAGAAGTATATTAATATAGTTATTATAGTTAAGTTACTTACTTATTATATTCTTCTTTAAGATCTTTTTTTACTTTTACCTCTAGCCAAGAAGGTAAATAAGCCTTTAAATAAGTATTATTAAAAAACTGTTGTATATTCTACTTAGGTTCTAAAATAGAACCTAAAATATAAGGCTTAAATTTAGGATAATTAGCATATGTAATAGGTAAAGAAAAATAAGTATTAAGCTTATTTTTTCCTTTTTCTATAGCATCTATAAAGTGCTTAGCATAAGGGTCTTGTGGTTTATTACTCTATAAAATATATTAGTAAGTTTAGTAAAATTAAATTAATATTTAATAATTATTATTAATAATAAACTTAAAGATATTTATAGTAGTTTATTATATTAATATAAAAGATTAATAACTTACTAAGTCTCCTACTATAGGCTTTTGCTGTTCTTTATGGTAATTTAACTCCCTTTCTAAAGTTAAATTAATATTAGTAACCAAAATAATAGCTTATCTATAGTAGTAAAGGTTTAATATTGCATTTGTATAGTAGGGCATAAAAAGCTTCTAATAAATCCTTAATATGCTGTAGTTATAACTAGTTTCTTAGAATTATAGCTTTAAATATAGGGTTTTTAGTACTAGACCCTAGGGTAATTAAGGCTGGCTTTAATTCTAAAGCAGTACTAATTATTATATATATAGAATTCTATCTAGTATTATTACCTATTAAATTATTAGTTTATATATAAATATAATAATATTAATATAATTTATAACTTATTTTATAAACTTACAAAGAGGTATTTTAGTTCTATTATAGTTATAAGGTATAGTAGGATCTTTAAGCTCTTTATTATACTTAATAGCTTATAAAAACTCTTTATATAAGCTAGTATTATTTTTAAGTAATATAGCTATTCTTTTAATAGCGCCTATAATACCTAATATTATAGAGATAATAATTAGTATTTATTAAATTATTATTATTATTAATAAGTATTATTAAAAAAGTAATAGACTTACTAGTATTTGCCTTTAAGACTTTTTCTTTTTCTATAGTATTTAATTCTTTAATTTCTCTATTATAATCGTTAATAATAGTAATATTCTTAAACTCTTTAATAATAGTATCTTAGTAGAAGTATTAATAAAGGTATTAACAATATCTTTAGCAATAATATTAAATATATGTGCAGTACACCTAATATTAAATATATTATTATTATAAGATAACTTATAATTATTAATAATATTAGATAAAAAGGTATTATTATTATAGCTATTATCTCTAGTAAAGCTATAATAAGTTAGTTACTAGTTTATTATTTATATATAATTTAATAATTAATACTTACCTTATAACTCTACTAAAAGAATATTATAACCTTCTATAATATTAGACTTAAATACTTTACTAAGATATACACCAGTATGTGCACTATCTAGAGCCTTAAAGCCTATTAATATTATTAGTATATATACTCTTAATATAATATATTAGTAATTAAATAATAAAAAGTTAAATACCTAGGATTTTATAGTCTAATATAAAGTCACTATTAATAAAGGTACCTATAATGCCTAGGTAGCTCTTAGAGTCTATAGAAGTCTATATATCTAGTTGTAAAGATATATAACTATAGTTATTAAAGTAATTACTTAAGTAAAATAATATAGTATCTTTAGTAGTATTAAATAAAGTATTAATACTACTTATTACTTTACTATAGTATAACTTAGACTATTACTATAATATAATAAATATAGTTAGTTAAATACTATTATAAGCTATAGAATATTATTTTTAAAATTAACTTATAGATTAAAATATTCTAATAAATTATTAAAGTTATTAGAAGTAATAATATAAAAAGGTAAGTTATTATTAATTAAAAACTTAATACAGTTAATAACTGCTGTCTCTAGTTCAAAAATAGTATTTAAAAGCCAAGGTCTTTTAAAGTTACTATTTATAGAAGTATTACTTATAAAGTTATTAATATTTGCTTAACTTATTCTATAATTTCTACTATTAATCTAGTTTTTAACTATAGAGAGTTAAAGAGTTAGTTAATATCTTTAAAAGAATAATATTTAATAAATAAAATAAAATATATATATATATATAACTTACTAGATATTTTAGAAGGATCTCCTTCTTCTTCTTCTTTAATAATTATATTAGGATGTTTTTGTTTATAATGTACTTGGCCTTGCTAGCTTGAAATCTTCTAGCCTTAGTTTTAAAGCTAAAGTTACAGTTAGGCATATTACATTTACATATAATTTCCCTAGGTCTACTATAGTTAATAGTACTTAAATTATAAGTAAATAGCTTATTTACTATAATATAAGAATTAGTAGGCTTAATAGTATAAGTAAGACTATTCTCTGATGTGTCTATATATTAATTTTTTTTTCCTTTTATTTTATTAGTTAAAGAGTTTGCTGTAACTTGAGAAGAAGCTTCGCTATCTGTTATATTAGAAGAGCTCTCGTAAAAAGAATAAGAATCGTTAGATGCTGTTATTTTTTTAGATATATTTAATAATAAAATATAAAATATAGTTTTATAGGTTTTAATAAGTTATTTTAAAGTAATAGTTATAATATAATATAGTAAGTAGTCTTTCTTAAGGTTATATTTATATATTATATTATAGGTAATATAGTATATAGTGTTATAAGTTAAGTAAAATATAGTTAATAGTAAAGATAAAATAAAGAATTAGAAAGAGAGAAAAAGATAGTATATATATTTATTTTATTATAATTATTTACTATATAATAAAGTATATAACTAAGAAAGTATAACTATAAGATATAACTATAAGATAAAACTATAACTATAACTATAAAGTATAACTATAAACTATAATTATAAAGTATAAGTATAAAGTATAACTATAAGCTATAAGTAAAAACTATAACTTATAAACTATTACTTATAGTCTATAAGTATAAAGTATAACTATAAACTATAATCTATAAGATATAATTATACACTATAATTATTAAGTATAACTATAAAGTATAACTATAAAGTATAACTATAAAGTATAACTATAAACTAAAACTATAGAATATAATTATAAGATATAACTATAAACTATATAAATAAACTTATAAGTATAAATATTATTAGTATAGTATATAAATATAAAGTTTATAGCTTTTTAAAGATACTTATAATTTAAAATTATAAGTTACTTATTAGATTATTTATATTATAAATTAGTTATATAAGAGCTTCTTAAGTATTAATATTATATACTCTATATAACTTTTAGACTTTTTTCTAGGGTACTTCTTTTTAGATTATTTACTTTTACTTAACTAATCTTTTACTTATATATAATATAGTATAGTATTATTAATATCTTTTTAATTATTATATAACTACTTACTATAACTATAAGACCTTTTCTAGGGTACTTTCTTTAGAATATTTACTTTTACTTAATTAACTTTTTACTTATATAGTATAGTATTCTTAATATCTCTTTAAGTATAATATAACTATTTACTATAACTTATAAGTATAAGACCTTTTCTAGGGTACTTTTTCTTAAGATATTTACTTTTCTTTTACTAACCTTTTACTTATATAGTATAATATTCTTAATATCTTTTTAAGTATTATATAACTACTTACTATAACTATAAGACCTTTTCTAGAGTACTTTTCTTTTAAAAATATCTACTTTTTCTAAACTAGCTTATTGTTTATATAAAGTAATATTCTTAATATTCTTTTAATTATTATATAACTACTTACTATAACTATAAGACCTTTCTAGGGTAATTTCTTAACTTATACTACTTACTTATAACCAGAGTATTAAAAAAATACAATACAAATATAATATAAATACAATACATGTATTTGTATTTTTTTCTAGTATAATACAATACATGTATTTGTATTTGTATTTTTTCCTATACTTAATACAATACAAATACAAATACATGTATTGTATTTTGTATATTATACAAAATACAAAGAAAAAATACAAGATTAATTCTTTTTATATATATATATATAGTAGTCTAATAATATATAAGTAAGAATATGTTAGTAGGTTTATATATATATTTATATATTAAAAAAATATTTTATTAATACTAATACTATTACTTCTTTATATATATATATAAAAGTAGTTATATTATTATTTACTCTTAGTTACTTAGTTAGTAATACTAAGACTCCTTAGATTATTACTATAAAGAGTATTTAGAATAATATTAGTAATATAATATTTCTTTACTTCTTTAATATTATAGTTTAAAACCTTATCTATATTACTTTTTTATTAGTTATAGTAGTTATAACTAATACTATACTTTATAGTATTCCTAATAGTATTCTATTATATAATATACTAGTATAAGTAATAGTTTAACTTTAATTAAATATAATACACTATATTAATACTATTACTATTATATATATAGAAAGTAATTATATTATTATTTACTATTAGTTATATAGTTATTACTTTTAAGACTTTTAACTTTAATATTATAAAGTAATTAGGATAATATAAGTAGTATACTATTTTTTACTTCTTTAATATAATAAGTAAAACCTTTATTCTAATCTAGATTTTTTTTAGTTATAGTAATTATAACTAATACTATATTCTATAGTATTACTAATAGTATTTTATTATATAATATATTAGTATAAGTTATAGACTAAGTTTAGTAAAATATAATAATAAAAGCTATTAGATTAGTTACTTTAAAGTCTTAATAAGTACTATATTTTTTACTATTTATTAATTACTATATTAAAGTATAATTAAATATATAAAATATTAATTACTTATTATAATATCTTTATCTTATATTATAGTATTATATTATATAGTATAAGAATAAAATATTTAAAAGTATTTATATTTTACTATTCTTATATATTCTTCTAAAAAGATAGACTATATCTAGAGAAAAAACTAATTCCTAGTTAGTAATATATATAATTTACTAATAATATAGTAGTATTAATAAGTATAATAAAAGGTTAAAAATTAAAAAGTAAAAAGCTATAGATCTAAAGATCTTAAGTATTATAGTATTTATAACTTAAACTACTTTACTAAGTATAATTAAATAGTGTAATTAGATATAAAGATTTTATATTATACTTAAAAGTTATAGCTTATAACTTATACTTTATAAAGTATAAAACCTAAAGTATAATATAAATTATATATAGTTATATTATATATAATATACTACTATAAATAAGTTATACTAAAGTTCTTTATAAACTTAAAGTTATAATTCTTTAAGGTTATATAGCTTATAACTATAATATATACTTATTAGTTATATAACGTATATTATAATATATAACTACTTAATATAATATACTAATTAAAGAAAGAAGTACTTAGAAAAAAAGTCTTATAGTTATATATAGTATATAACACTTAAGAGAATTAATATATATATTAAGTGTTAACTATATAAATATTAATTAAGTTTATAATATAATATATATAATTATACTAAAAATAACTTATGAAATTATTATTATCTTTATATAACTATAGACTATATAGTTATTTACTATACTATAATAAATAAATTATATATAACTATAAACTATAACTTATATAAGTAACTTTTATATTTATATGTTTATTTTTATACTTTTATACTTATTATTCTAGTTATAACTATAGTTATACTTTATAGTTATATTATATAGTTATAGTTTATATATAGTTTATAGTATAGTTATAGTTATATTTTCTAGAAATAGTTATACTATACTTATAGTATATATTTATATTTATAGTTATAATATATATTAATATACTTTTTATAAGTATTTACTTATATAAACAAGTATATATATCTTTATAGTAAAAAATATTCTATTTTTACTTTTTTCTTAATTATTATTTTTATTTTTACTTTATTATATTTTACTTAATATATAAGATATATACTTATAGTTATAATAAACTATATTATATATATTATTAGTTATTTTATAGTTATTATAATTTATTATTTATTATTTATAAGTTATTTTAAAGTTATATTTATAGTTTGTTATATTATAATAGTTATATTATAGTAGTTATATATAGTAGTTATACTTTTTAGTTATTATTATATAATATTATAGTATATATAAGTTATATTCTTATATAGTTAATATATTAATAATTATATTATATATATATATAGTAAGTAGTATATTATAGTAAGTAGGTATATTACCTACTTTTTTATCTTTTAATAACTTAATTTAACTAGATTATATAAAATTAATTAAAAATATATATTACCTTATTCTTTATTAGTATCCTAAACTACCTTATAGGTTTATGTATTATATCTAGTCTTCTGTAATTACTAATTATTATACAAGTGGTTTACTACTCTCTATATAACCCCCCTTTTAGGATATTTCTTTACCTTAGCTTTAATAACGTCCTTTTCTCCTTGTAGTGCCTCTACTTTAGCTATATTAAGTAATCCTCTAAGACATAGTTAGGTCTTTTTAGCCCTCTAGCGCTTACTAAGTACTTTATCCCTATATAAAGTTAATAGTTCTCTGCCTTAATAATAGTAAGTTAATATACTAACTTACTAATACCTTTTAACTATAAGTTAATTACTTTGTACATTAGTGTTAGTAAACTTCCTTAATAGTCCTAATCTTTTTTTTTAATAAGTAGAGCTTTATACCTTTAATTACTATTATTAGTGTCTTTAGGTCTTATAAGCCTAAGCTAGTTAGACATAAGTTAACTAGTGTTAGTGTCTTTAGCTTAAAATCTAGGCAAGAAATAATAACTTTAGGATTAAAAGGTATAAGACTAGCCTATTAAAAACCTACTTATATGTTTATTTCTCTTATTAAAGTAAAGAATACTACTTTAAAGGTAAAAAAGAAGTTATCCTTAGTAATATATATAATTTATATCTATATTATTTTCTTAATTTCTTTGTTGTATAAGTACTTTAAAGGGCTAAAACAGCTAACATTAAGAGGCTAAAGCTTATATAATAAATAAAGAGGTATATATAAAGTAATAATACTTTCTTCTTTATAGTAGTTATTAAATTTAGTTAATTTATAGCTATTATAGCTATCTAGGATTAGAAGGTAATAAGTACCCTTTATATAAGACTTTATATACTAATTAAAGTGCTTTAGCTAATCTAGGCTAATCTTATTTATAGTTTATCTATTTTTACTTAGGTAAATACACTATATAACTAAAAATTTACTATTAAGGT